CCTGGACAGAGTTGTGATTTTTTTAATTTTGCCTGTTTTCCGCTGACGTGAGAAAATGCGTAAAATGCCCATAACTCCCCAAGGGAAAAGTCTCCGCCCGAACTCTCTTAGGCTTTTTACCCACTCCAAATGCCCCATCGATCCACGCAAGAACGAAAGAAATCGGAGTGCTTCATCTCCATAGGTTCCCTCGTTAGCCAAGCTATATAACTTGTCTGCAGTGTTACGCCCTAGAAACTATGTTTTTCTGTAGGTGAAGATTGATACTAAATTTGAAAACTCTTGTTTTTGTATAAAATCAACAACGCTACGATGTTCAGGATGATCAATTACCTACATTTCGACCATTTTTGGTGTCTTCAAACTGCAAAAACTAAGGCCTTCTTCTGATAGAAAAGTAATAGCGATCTGCGGTTTTCAGATTCTGGAAATAGACACTTTCCCACAACTTCCACTAAGTTTTTAGACTAGTTTTGAAACTCTTCGGACGATGAAAAGAAAAGAATGAATAAATAATACAAGGTATAAATGTATTAGGTTAGAGATGCTCGTCATATTTTAGTTTTATTATCGACTGTCAAGTCGAATTTAGACAACCAGACTTACAAAAAAGGGCAAAAAACAACCCCATGTTTTTAAATAGTTTTTAAAATAGTTTTAAGTAGTTTTTGGAAAAAGATTTCGAAAAAGTTGTCTGTTCAATTCGTTTTGTTTTGTTATTGTAATTTTAATCAATTTAATTAATGTTTGTTATCCACTGAAGACGATTGAACTATCAGTCGAAACGTTTGCAATCGATAAAGAAATAGTATGAAGAAAAAGTAATTAATTAATATATACAATGAATTATAAATATAAAAAGAATCTACTCTAAAACAGAAAATATACACTAAACCCTATCTAGTAATGTATAAAATATCTTTTGATACCAAAGATCAATACTATACAAAGCTACTAGTGCGTAAGATATTGGTAAAAAAATCTTATTAAGTCTCTAATTGATTTTCATGTTCTCGCCTCATGTATGGGTTTGTTCGAAAAAACAAAAAATCCTCTAAAGAAAGAATGTCGAAAAACTAAAACCCTGATAATATAGAGAACAGGGATATTAATGGTGTGGTATGGAATGGAACAGAGAAATTCTCTCATAGGATGAAGCATTTTAACCTTTCCACCTAATAATTCGGCATATTTTTTTCAACTTTTATTGGTTTTTGGAAGAATTTTACACAACTACTCATGCCATTTACTAATACTAAACAATTAAATAAGAGTAGTAAGAGTCATGAAGTCATATTATTATCGCCACTGTTATTATTATCGGTGGATGGTGGGATTAACCTGTTATCACCCTGCACTGGCATCGATGCATTAACTGGAAATGATAATGATTGTTGAGCCTGTCTCTTTTCAATTTCTTGTTTGATCATTTGTCGTTGTACATGTGCTGGTAGACCTGGATTAAGATTCAGTATATAAGGTAATATAATTTTTGATATATCACCAAAATCAACAATTACTTTAATATACATTGTATCATTCTTAATATAATTATTATCAACTTGTTCTATCATTGGTAGAGGAAAAAATTTGGGAATGCCTGAAGCAATATTCATTTCTGAACGGGGTCTTTGAAATGAATTTGATTTAATATCAGGTCGAAATGAATCAACAATATGTCGTTGTTGACCAGATTGGTCATATAAACAAAATGTTACTTTAAATGAAAATGGCCACTTGAGAATAGCATCATATTTACCTCTCATAATAACAAAAAAGAGAGACATATGTGTACGACGTGCATTACCGTCACCCTGCAGATAGAGTCTTGCTCTCATTTTATAACCAGTTGGCGATGAATAAAATGGTGGTGAATAAATACTCGTTTGTCGTTCACTCTGAGCATCAGCCATTTTATCACTTACATTTGAAGTTTTCCATGTTAATGTACCATCATATGCTAACGATTGTGAATCATCAACTTTTTGTTGCATACTTGTTATTTCTTGCTGTACAATTTCGCCATTTAGTTTAATAACATTAATATATGTTTCTTTCTCAGCAATTGACTGTTTTATTTGATTTGTTTGATTTTGATATGATTCTGCTAAATGTTGATGATGTAATGATTGAGAACTAAGGCGAATTATATCATCACTTAAAGCCGGTATACTTCTTGTTACCACAGTTAATGTTTCATAACGTTGCTGTAATTGGGAAGATAAATCACTGATAACAGCCGAGGAAACAGAAGATTGAACAGTATTAGTGGGAATGATCAAAGGAGCATGGTCAAATGGTTCATCTTTCGTTACTCGATCATAATCTATTGTTGTTCTAACATAATTATGATCAGTTGTGACTGATGAATGAGATTGATTTTCATCCGATGAGAACGATGGAATGGTTAGTTGTCCCGAATGAATTAACACAACAAGCTGACGAATGAGTGTCATCAATATCCTTTGATGTAATTCACTCAAATAATGTTCACCCATTAATGATTTCTCGACCTAAACAGAGAAAAAGAAGATATAGTAGATTTTATTCACAATATAACTGCATTATAAAGAAGCTAGACTCATTCCAAAAATCAACAAACGCACTTCCTTACAAAGGGAAAGTTCATTCTAAACCACTGCGCCCTTTGTTCAATAGATAATGATTTCCATTATATGCTGCTTATAATTACAAAGTAAACTTATATGAAAGAATTTTATTTAAAAAGTATATGTCTCCTAAATCTTTAATATGATTTCTCACGACGACCTATTAAAAGATAACTCTTAATCCAACGTGCAGCTCTGCAACTACTATCGGAATTAAAATACAAGGGTAATGGTCATGTTTTGAATAACAAATGAGTTATTCAGAAAATGACCACTACTCTTGTATTTTGGAAGCGATACACGGAAAAATTAATCGAACCAGCCGGAAATATTCATCAAAAATACTTCAAAAAGTCCATCACAGATTAGTTTTTCTCCAAAAAATATTGCTTATAATCAAAGTGGAAGAATTTTGTGTTTGAACAACTTATGATATATAGCCGAGAAATATTTTCGTTCAAACCGACGATTCCTGTTTTAACAGTGAAAGAAGAGACGGAGAAAAGTAAATCTCAAATACAACCCTGAATAATATTCTATCTTGTTTACTCTATTATCAGATAAACAGTAATCCGAAATAATCAGATGAAAACACACTTAAAAACACAGCTATTTATATATAAAAATTACATATAGTTGAATATACGAGAAACAGATGGAACGAAGAGCAATGACGTCAATAGTACAGAACATACATTGACGTCAGAAGAATAGGAAAGAACATGACTGACATAAGACATCAGTAGACTAGGAAAGACAAAGAATAGTCACATTTCTAAGTATATGACGTCCCTATATCTTTCATGACAAAATACCTTCTCCTCCAAAAACTGATCGCCGATCAATCTGGAAAGAACACCGAGCGTTAGGCTGCTTCCAGGCTGTTGATGTAGATTGCTTGTTAATAATGAGGTGCCACCATCATTTGAGTATAACAAACATGCTGTAACTAATGCTGATTATGATGCTGTCACCATCTTGTAATCAACGTCTTTGTCCACGTGGCTTGCTAATACCTTCATTCTAGCATTTACAGTGTTCTCTCATAAGCTGGTTGGATGTCATGAACGTCTACCTTCTTCTGAATTGTTGAAAGTACATGTTCAGTAATATAACCTGGATGTTGTTCTTGTATAATATGATATGGGTCGGGATATTGCTCTTAGAATTCGGATCGGTGTCCAGGATACTTCCATGACACTAGTGTATGTGGTTTGCATACTGGATCGGACCGATGATGATTATATCATTTCTACAAATTGAGCTTGGTATACCATCTGTTAGGCAAATAATTCAATATTCTAAATTTAATTTAATTCATAAAATCGTACACAATCAGTCGTCTTCCTACCTAAGATTCGATACCTAATTACGCTAAAAAGAGACACAAATACCAGACAGACGCGTCACTATATACCAATAGATATAGTTATCCAACACATCTTTTGTAGCTAGATCAGTACTGGTGAGCGTTATACATGAATGGAACAAACTGCTCTATGAAATGCGATGTATGCGATGTATCACAGATAATGAGAACTTCTCTATAAAACTGATAAGTTTCCTAAATTTTCCACCTGTCACTGGTGCTGTGCGATGTAAATAATTTAGTAATAGTGACGGCTCCAAGGAATCTGTTTCAATGGCTTAAATGCTGCAGTTCGATGATCATGTCAATAGCATAATTTTTTGTTCTTCTTTGTCTTACGTCACCTGATGGATGCGTGTGTTAGAGACCGGCCAGTGTCATGTATGATTTAGTGTACGCAGAGGTAGAAAAAGAAAAGAAGGAAAAAAGAAAATAAATAAACGTGAGAAATACTATTTCTCACAGGGCATGCTGCAATTTGAGAGAATTTCTTGTTGTTGAAGCGAAAATTATTGTTTTAGGAGGATGTTAATCACTGGGAGTCTGTTGTTTTACTATGGAACGAGTTTGAACGTATAAGGCCATTGGTGGATATTCTTCGGTTTGTAAGAATTTGGTAGATGTATTATTTAGTTCGTCGAGATCTTCTGGACCGTCCAAAGGAAGAAGGAAGAATACCTCGCCTTGCGGCTACTGCTACCGGTGTAGGGTGCTACCGTGACAGTTTCAATAGCCGGACATTTCCCCTGCAGTTGACAAGCTTCTGAAATGGTCACCCATGTCGTTTATAGTCATCAATTGCATCTCTGGCCAGGAGACTAGCCTGACGCAGAGTTCTTTCGTCCAATTGCTTGATACACACTTCACTAACCACGTACCAGCGTTTGGAAAAGCCACGAGGACTAATCACAACGTAGTGAGTATGCTGTTAGACTGCATATCAGCCTATAGGCGTTTTTTTCTTGAGGTGTTGCCAACCTGGGACTAGTGGGCTTTTGTAGCCCATGGTCGACTGAGTGGATCGGCACTAGTTTGGCTCCGACGTATGGCCGACACTCCAGCAAAAAAAATTAAAATAAAATTTGCAGCGTAATAAAGGAGAATAATAATAAAAATTAAGCGCTGATGAGTTTCGAACCTCGACACTCGCTTATGGTGGGCGTAGTGTTTAACCTATTTTGCCATCAGCGCATATCAACAGATAAGTATATTTCTCACTTCACAGCAATTCCATTTGTACACACGCTCTCGCTTTCACTAATTCTTCTCTACTCGTCATAGAAATTAGGCTAACGGTATTTTGAACTTTAGAAAAATTTTGATTGTTAATAAAATAGAAACGGTTCATATGTCCCTCCTCTCTTACTTACTGGAACTACTGTGCACTTTGTTTTATTAGCGTTTTTCATACAATTCTGCTTTAAAAAAGTTAAAAAAGCAGGTATGAACTAAGTAAAAGTAAGAAATAAGTGGCTGATATAACACCCACGCTAAGCGAGTGTCGAGGTTCGAAACTCATCAGCGCTTAATTTTTATTATTATTCTCCTTTATTACGCTGCAAATTTTATTTTAATTTTTTTTGCTGGAGTGTCGGCCATACGTCGGAGCCAAACTAGTGCCGATCCACTCAGTCGACCATGGGCTACAAAAGCCCACTAGTCCCAGGTTGGCAACACCTCAAGAAGAAAAGCCTATAGGTTGATATGCTGATCCGAGACACTAAGACATAACCAACTTGCCCCAGGTTATTACATAACTTTGCCGAGGTTCGATGGCCGCAATTTGTCAGTTGAACGGGCTCTTTTAGCACTAGTTGACAGTTTCCACAAATATATTTTGGATCGTTAGATCCTATATTCTTCACCTTATAACCATGCAAATTTTTACTTTTTTTGCTTTTGATATTAGTCGCCATAATGATGATTATCTAGAGAGAAAAAACACGCGCTTCGCATGTAATTATAAATCGTAATGAGGCATGATGAAAACAAGTTTTAGGCGCACATTTGATTAGAGAATTACTTTTTAATGGAAAAATCATAGTAAAGATTTAGAAGACATATAATTTTTAAATAAAAGACATTTTAAGATTAAAATGCGACATTTCCCAGCTCTACACGACCTTATTTGCAAGTTATAGAATTTAGAAGCAAAGGCCTAAATTAATTTTCTATTTCTGTACCGAGGTTCGAACACAGTACATTTGAAGTACGTGACGAACCACAGAACCATCAAACCATGTCGGATCATCCACAGATGATCTCGATAAATAGTCCTGCAATAGATTGCTTATTCCACGAAATTATCTGATTTGGATTTGATATCTTCAGTCGCCATCGTTTACATCTCTTGTTGTTATGTGCTTTGTGCTCGATTGTCCGTTTCCCATATCAGTTTTTGTCCACTGAGATATATGTGATGTTGATTGAACTGGTTCGTTTTGTTGTTGCTTTCCTTGTGTTCTTGTGGTTGGTAAGAATGTATGTAGCGGTTCGGCGATGAAGGAGAAATTGGGAATACATTTGCTATAGTACTCTGCTGCCTTCACAAATCTACAGGTTTCTGCTTCTGTTTTGGGGATTCGTGATTCAAATCAACCGCAGATTTCATCGGGGCTTGAACGAATATTCCCTTAGTTAACTTGATGGCCGAGATATTCCGTTTCCGTTTTGGCAATAATACATTTTTTAGAATTTAATTTGGATTTAGCGTGTTCTAATAGGCGACAAATTTCATTGAGATAAAATAAATGTTGTTGAAAAGTTGTGAAATAGATAATAAATAAATATAGATAAGCATAATGCCGCCGGACTGGACCAAGAATATAATTAATAATTCGTCAAAAGGTGTTGCGAATTTCTTGTGGTATTATAACAGTAAACCGATAATGGTTATTTCTTGTTGAAAAAGCCGTTCTGAGTCGGTCTTCGTAAGAAGTAGCCGGAACTGAAATCAAATTTTTAAAGTATGCTGCTTCGGAGAAATGATCAAATATTTCATCGATCCGTAGCGGTGAGAATGCGTTCTTGATGGTAATATCATTAAGTTTTCTATAATCGTTACAAAATCTTGTGGATTTGTCTTTCGTCTTTACGAAGACTACATGTGGCGCACATATGGCTCGATGTGAAGATGTATGATGTAGGATCAAATAACTGTTTATGGTGAACGCACACTTAGCCTCCGATTGATAGCACGAATCATTCGCTGAAAAAGAGGGGTTCTGCTCTTCAATGGGCGTAAATAGATTTTGTTGTTTCAATTGATTGATGATGGTCGATTCACAATTAAACAGTCCAAAATCTTTGAATCGCTTGCCATAATTTCAGCCTTAGCGTTCTTTGCTAATGTTTCTGGTCTATTTTGTGCATTAGTCAATAATACATTTCGTTGAATGATCCGTTACATTAAGCGACGTATTTGGAATAAAAAGAAATTTTTATGGAAAATGTCTGACAAGCTGAAAAATCAAATTATTAGCATTTCTAATTGGACGTTGACTTTTAATAATCGTTGAGAAGAGGTAGGTATAGTTATTTGTTCTGTTAAATAAACTGGATAATTTCAATCTGGTGGATCAATATATGGGATGGATACTCTTTTCCCGTTAAATCCCGGGATCGTTAGCCGTTGTTCCTCAATTAATAAATGAATCTTTTTTCGGTTTATCCAACGAATTCCAAGTAGTATTTCGGTAATTAAATTTGTTGCCACATGAGCAATGATTAATGTTTTGATTAAATCTATTTTTATTTCTAATTCAATTTCTCCGATGATATCGATAACTGATGAATTTATTGTTTGGCATTTAATATGTTCGTAAACGAATTTTTTGTGATGAATAATTTTTAATCGGTCTTGATTAATTATTATGATGGCGGATCCCGTATCAACAATTACCATAGTTTGATGGATTAATTAACGATTTACGTTCCGAACGATTTGAATGTTGATATGTCCTAAACGTTGCTGTTGTTGCAAATGATGTTATTTTGGTTTCAAAACAAAATGTGGTTGTGTTCGTTGTATATTTACCAATTTACTATATGTTTCATTTAAGTCTTCGTCTTTCGCGGCTATTTTCCAAAATTTATCAAATGTTTCAATTGCTGGATCACATATTAATATTCATTTTGCTATTACATGGCAAATTCCGCTTAACAGGTGTTGTATTATGACTTTGTCGTTCACCGTTGACTCATAACCACGACATTTGCTACTTTTCCTTGATAATATGTTGTAATAGATTCATTTGATTTCTGTTTGCGTTTTAATAACCTTTTCAATTGTGTTTATAATTGTGTCAAAGATGGAAAAACGATTTCGAAACTCTATTTTAAAATAATTCCAATTATTGTCGAACCAGATGCCAGCCGTTTTAATTAGCTTTCCATAGACGACTCTCAAGCGTTCTTCGTTTATTGTTTTGCATTTCCTTTCGTAATTTGGTATATCTTTGAACTATGATTTTCGTGCAACTTCGATTAATGAACCTAATATTTCTTCGGCCAAGTGAACGACACGAACGGTACGAAAAAACACGAAGAAAACTGATGAAAATCCTTGTCTATATACCAATATGAAAATCATGTGTGACAAAAATAGAAGAGAAAACTGGAATAATCAGAATGAACAAAGGGAGAAAACAATGTGTATAACTGTACGTAACGGGTGCGGCAGAATAAACGATAGTCTCAATATTTCTTACTATCTCGCTCAGCTCGCATCCTTTCGGATTAAATTTCTTTTTTAGAGATTCAGCATTCGGTCCTCTACAAAACCATAGGTGAATGAGTGTTATTTGTATAAAAATAAAAAGTATATTGAAGGAATACTGAAAATACGAAACACCAACAACTTTCTAGTACAAAATTCAGTTTTTTTGCTTTTACATGTTCTCGTGTTAA